CCAAGTTTTCCCTTTTTCCAGTCTCCAGAGAGTTCACGTGACTACCAGGACTCTTCAAATATCATGGAGAATGGCCACTACATCAGCCAATTCCCTCAGGACTCTGTGATGCACCTCATTAGGTCCCATAGACTTGTGTATATTCAGCTCCGGCATTTCCCAGCTGAGAAAACAGTGTTGCACCACAGGTCGTACAGCAAACACATAGACTACTAGCAGAGGAAATAAAATATTTGAACAAGCATAGAGTGATGCATTTCAGTCATGCGTGAAGGGAAACCCAGTGAATAAGAATTATAGAATGCCACCATTAACTTGCCCTTAAGAGATACAAACCAGTTTATTCTGAATGGAATAGATCAGCAAACACTGAAGCTGCTTTTTTTTTTCCCCCGAAAGTGGAGGGAGCATAAGCAATTTTCCAAGAATCATAAAATAAAGATTAAAATACAGTATAAGAAGAAGTAGGCCTGGATTCTTCTGTAGATGAATCCTCTTTAGTTTACTTTTAAAAGATCAAAAATCAAAACAGATTCACTTTGGTTTTGGTCACAGACTGATAATGCAATCATTCCAAGGATGGGAAAATGGAGAGATAAGAGGTTCAAATAATGCAAAATAAAGGAACAGGAATTCACAGGGTTGTCTGATGTTCACCACTGCAATGTGAGAGTGGCTCATCACAAAACAGAGCTTGTCTACAAAGAGCTCTTCAAGAAACACTGAGATTTTTCAAGTGCACAAATCCTTCTGATTGGAAGAAGGGAAGGCTAGTTTCTTTTTTAAATTCTGCCAGAGCTAAGAGCATGAGCAACAGCTGATTTTAGTTTTTAATGAATACGTGGTGCATTCCTCTTGACCACAGGTTAGAGTTCTGAAAAAAGGGAGTGAGGAGGAAAAATAGATTCCATCTGATGAAGAGGGAAAAGCATCCTTGGATATCAACTTGGCAATCGAAGAAGTCTGTTTTGAACTAGTTTTGAGTGGTATAGTGACAAAAGCCCATATGGAAGTAAAAGCAGCAAACAACTACAGATCAAGCAATAAGACTGGAATTTGCAGTTTGGAGACCAGAAATCAGACTAGGTCACGGCAGACTGGGAACAGCAGGACACCAGAACAAACTCTGAGAGGCTGGGTGTCTGCAGAACACAGGCAGATGACTGTGCAACTACAGCTCCCTCTTGCACATACACCAGACCTATCTCATCTTAACCGGTGGATCATCTCTCCCACCAAGCACACCTTATGTAGGTATATGTAGACTATGCTCTTCTACAATAACATGCTCTCTGCAGTCCACTTCTACCCACAAGTCAGATGAAGCCCATGAGTAGAAGAAATTGGCCTTTCAGATCCCACACTATGGGGCTATGCAAACAAGGAGGCAGTAGGCTGAGCAAGTTCACACTGGTATTTTATCTGTAGCACTACTGGAACAGACATATCCAGGCTAGAAGCTGCCTTTTTCTCTCCTTCTTCATCTACGTTTAGCATTGACAGCATGGTGGTTTAGTTCAACTCATACTTCTGCTGAGCAGAAATTCCAGATGAGGGAGACCATGAAGTCCAGGGTTGACAGCGTGTGTGCTAGAATATTAATTTCAGAAGAGTCCAGCTGATCTACAGGCCAAATTCCAGAACCCAGTCACCCTGTCACCCTGCTATCAATCAAGAATGATTCAATTCAAGTGATCCCTGGAAACAGAATATTGCTCTGCATCCCACAAACCTATTGTAGCAGGATACTACAGTGTGCAAGGCCTCAGTGTCAAATGTTGCTTGATGAGACATAGGAGGTCACTATGGTTAAGCCAAATGTGACAGAAGTGTATCCTTGTAGTGATGAGACTCAAGTGTGTGCTTCCTGTGACCTGGATTATCTTTGCCAAGGATATCAGCTGTCACAGTCCAAAGCAGAACCCAGGCACACAGCAACATAAAAGCAGCATAATCAGGAAATCAGCCCTCAAAGCTGAGAACGCAGTTTGATGGTATAGATGTATCTATCAATATTTGGTGGAACAAGTCCAGGCAGGATATAAATTTATTTAGGAAGAACGTTGAAAGAAAAAAAAAAATTGCTGAAATATATACACTGGAAATACGAACTTCTGTGAAATTTACAATCAACTTTGCTGAATATCTTCACATGTAGATGAAAGGGAAGAGACCAAAAGCAGGAACATTGCCTGGATCCAGTCCTAGTTACATGCTTTTGAGAGAGATTTAGGTGAAATTGTCTTGAGAAGTTATCAAAAGTAAGGTAAGGGTTTTGGAATTAAATTGAGTAGCGGCTGTAAAAGCAACATGTAGGACAGTGAAGGACTTTGGAACGTGTTGAGTGACAATGTTTGCTTAAAAGGCAGAGAACAATATCAGAAGGCTATCTGTGACTTCATGAAGCTTCATCTTCATTAATTGCAAGGAACTCATTAAGACAAAATGAAAAGGAGCGACTTTCTTCCAAGGTACCTAGATTTTATATCTTATACTGAACTGGCATTCTGTGATGATGGTGACCATGTAGGCTCAAAGCACTTTTCAGGTCATTGACTGATGTGCTGCTTTTGGATGACCTCTGTGATGAAAGATGGAGTTTAACAGACAAACTTGCAAAATATTTATACTAAGTATGAATATTTATGCTCAGAGGAATGGACAAAATAGAAAATCCAGTTTAGATAACATAAAAAATGTCCTGGAAATGTAACACATTAAAAATATTTTAAAATTAAATATTTACCCAGATCCTTAATGAGTGATAATGCTTCCCATGATATAAATGCTCCACCACCATCATCCATAGCTCCCTGCCCAACGTCCCAGCTGTCCAGATGTCCACTGACCAATACAATCTGAAAAAAGCAATTAAGAGAAAACATATCTACATGAAAACACTGAATCAGAAAAGACAGTTCAGCATTTAAGCATTTTAATGATTTTGTCATAAATTTGGCTTTTTAGTTTAGAGCTAAGGAAGGAAACATTTAAAATAAAACTCTAGTTCTCCAGTCACTGAATATAAAACTGTGACCACCAAATGCATCCTAATGCTTCAAACCACTGCATGAATCAAAATAGATGAGCTGTGAGAAATGTTTAAATGAAAGGTTTTTTCTTGTACATTAATAAAGTGCATACTTTCCAGAGATACAGGACTACTACATTGCAGAATGGTGAAAATTTCTTTCATACTCTGGCTGTTTAAGCCCTTAGGCATGAAAATTGATTAACCCAACTTTTGGGTGCATAGGTAAAAAATATAAACTTAGACTTGAAGAGTTGCCAAACACGGGTTGTTTTTTCATTATATATGTATGGTACTTGCCACAGAGGACCTCTAATTTATTACTGGATCCCCTATGTGTTACAATAATGACAAGGTATTTTATAGTTCCATTAGTCATAAAGATTTTTAAATTGAAAATTACATGGTAGCAAGTCCCAAACTTGCGTTTTCTGCAAAAAAAAGCTTTGTGGCTCCAGTAGGGTATAGCAGTATATGTTTCTCCAGAAACACCTACTTTCAGTTCTGTACTCTTCAAATGTTCACAAGCAGTATCAGATCGATTCAAGAAGTGAGACAGTTCCCTAACTGGACCTGAAGCTGAAGGGCTGATGGATATGCGATTGCAACGGAGAGGTCAAGGAGGGACAAGAACTCTGAGCTGAGCAGGCAGTGTGGTAAAATGACACAATAGGGCAAAAGCAAGAGCAGGGAGCCACTACAGTGCCCCAGGAGTCTTTGAAGAACTGGTACCAGTAAAGAGTGCCCTTGGGATATAGTGGAAGTGGAAGCATCTCATCTATGACAACTAAGTACTGAGGAAAAACTGAAGGAGACCCTGAAACATCTGCCTATGTTCTGCCCAGAACTGGCCATATGTGAAGGGATGCTTCCAACTGCCTGGTCAGCTGATGTTAATCAGGTCTCAGAGTTGTGGGATCTAGAACAGGAAAAATACTCGTTCTTCCTGCCATGTTCTTCTCCCTAAGGGATGAGGATCTCCTGGCATATCACCACAGCTTTCATGCATCACAGGACATCTACTCTAGCACTGATAAGGAGAACGAACTGTGTTTTTCCTGTTATCACTCCTGGAGGGCAAGAGCCTATGCTTTCAAGTGTGCAGCTAACATTGCAAGGAACTAACTTGGGGACCAACCATGAAAACCTCTATTTTCCCCATCACATGAGAGAAACCTTGGTAAGTTTTCAATTATGATTAAAAATAACATGCAAACAGATCATGGCAATGGAGTGCAGCAAATATGAACACAGGTAGCAGAACTAAAAGGCCCCTTTGCATTAAACAAGGGCCATGATAAATTATTAGTGATATATATCGTATTGCCATATGTCCAATTAGAATGCACCAAAACCCTTTAAATGTAGAAAATGCACTATGAAATGTTTATAAATATGTGTATAATAAAAAACCAGAAGTGTCATGCTTTAGAAAGTGTGATCAAAATCTGATAAGCAGCTTACTCCTTCCTTCTCAGACATTTCAGCTCTTTTCTGCTTAACCAGCCTTAACTAAACAAGAGCTTGCTTTCCAGCATGGACTGACTCTCTTGGTAGTAGACAGACATGCCACAGCCTTTATTCCAAAACCTCCCCTCCTTCAAAAGTGCTTAAATTTGGATGGCAGACCCCTCCGGAAAAGCCTCAGATTTACTCAGGAGGTATTCCTGGAATTTACTGTCATGATCCTCCCAGGCCCGGCATGAAAGACAGCGAACAGTGCGTTTTCCAGGGACGCTGCCCTGCAGTAGAAGTACTTAATCTGTGGCAGGCCTCTGCTACAACAGCAACATAGCTTGAAAACAGATAATCTAAGAAAAGTCATGCCAGCTTTGGAGGTAGAAACCTTTCTTAAATGAGAGCAGAAAAGAAGTGGTCACTGCAGTACTCTTGCTCTTTTTGTTTTCTTATAAGGGAGGACTGAGCACACACACAGACACTCTTGCAGGCGGTGCAGGCAATGCACGAATGATCCTGCTTTGAGAGCTTGGGATGCATGTGCAGCCCCACTGCAACCTGCCTATGGAGGGCAGAGCTCAAACGCCACCACGCTTTGTAGCTGACTGATGCAGACTCATTAATGTCCACTCAATAAGGAATCTGCAAAAAAAAAAAAAATATTAAAAAAAAAAAGAACAGAAAAGGCTCTGAGTGAAAGCACAACTGTCTGCGGTGTAAAGGACCTCTATTCCACAACTTCAAAATCACAAAAATGTGCTTTGTTTGTTCTTAAAGCAAGAATTGTTTTTAGGAAGATAACTATTCACTCTCCTGGGAAACTGAGCTTCAAGCTGAAGTGAATTATTTATAAAAAGATTGTAAACTCATTGAGAACCAAGTTTATGATAGAAACAACGCCTTGTCTTTAGCAGTGAAAGAATACCTCACTAATGCTGTTCCCTGGCAGCAATCTCAACATGAGCGTCTGAGAGGGAATTACTCCTCATTTCTGTGAAACAACACATATTGCAACAGCAGGAAATTCTGAATCAGAAGGTGGTGGTGTAATCCCATTTGGGGTTACAGACTCCAGTCACAAAGCATCTTTACCAACTCCAGAACATTACACCAAAACAGATCAAGGTTCAAGTGGATTGAGAAAGTCAGATAATTTTATGGATGAACTTTTACTTAAATTTACTTAAGCTGGTGCCAAGAGCAATTACATAAATGCAACCAATGTACTTCTATTTGAAAGGTTTTTTGGAACAGTTGTTTTTATAGCTATCATGCTGCATTTAGCAGCTAAAATGAAAGTTTCCATGATTTTGCTTATACTTAGCCACAGACGTTCTTAAAATAAGACACAGTCATAAAATAACAAAAACACTATGTTTATCTTGGTCTTTAAGTAGATATAATGTGTCTAGGCAATGAATGGAGATATTTCTTACATTTACTGTAAACCACTCTATCATTTAAAATACTATTATAAAATAATAGTATTATAATTCTCTGTACAGGTGGGTTAATAACAAAGTCAGTTAAAGCTATCATGTAAGTATGGTTATTGTATTTTCTACATTGCTTTCAAATCTGTTACATGGCTCTCAGCTCCAAATCTACACATAGACTAATAACTTACATTTACACAAAACAGCCCTATAGAAATGTCAGCATATTGCAAAAAAATGTAAGCATTGCAGAGCAATGTAAGTAAGTATATCTAAGTATAATTATTTGTTTTAAATATACAGAGAAACCACAAGCACCTGATAGGACAGTACAAATACAGCAATAAACATTTGCCAAATCATCCAAAAATAAATTTAGGATAAGACAGCTTCCATGCAACATGACAACTTAATATTTGGCTTTCCTGGAGTGACATGACTAAGAAAATGCTGCCCTAGACACAGCCCAGATACAGTACAACAGAAGAAATGAAACTGCAGGAAACATTTCAAATAGAAGGTAAGTAATTCTATCTCCTTCTGCACCAGCATTATTACCACTATGGGATGCCTTTAAGTCATACCCAGGATTTCAGTCAAGCATACTGAAATAATAAATTCATATTATATTTTATATATTACATGTATTACCTATATTCTATATTTATATAAATATATAGTAAAATATTCTATATTTTAAAATAATATTAAAAGGAACCACCTGTTCACATACTGTTACATATGATATGGAGTTACCCTTTCCTAAGCATGATGGGCTTTGCCACTAAAAAGTAGTCTTTGATTCGATACGTATTCATGCATGCCTAGTGACTACATCAGTGGACAAGGGAAGAGCTATCGATAGCATCTATCTGAAGTTCTGCAAGGCCTTTGAAATGATCCTCCACAACATCTTTCTCCCTAAATTGGAGAGAGATGGATTTGATGGGTGGACTGTTGGGTGCATGAGGAATTGGTTGGATGGTCACATCCAGAAGGTAGTGGTCAATGGCTCAATGTCCAGATGGAGATCGGTGATGAGTGGTGTCCCTCAGGGGTCTGCAGTGGGACCAGTACTCCGCTGCACTCTGGTGAGACCCTACCTGGAGTCCTGTGTCCAGCTCTGGAGCCCTCAGCACAGGAAAGACATGGACCTGTTGGAGCGGGTCCAGAGGAGGCCACCAAAA